GGCAATCAACTCCATGGTGGAATCTACCACAAGCAGCTGAGTAGCTGCCTTTGGGATGTGGTCTGTTTCCTGTATATAAGATGAAGCCTTGGGAATGGTTTCTAGCCTATGACACTTGGACCCTGCATGTATCTGTGTCATTGTTCAGCTGCCTGCTATGCTCTGCCGACCTTGGGACTTAAAATGGATTTAAATTAATGGCCTGCTGTGTGGTTTGGTAACATTGGGACTGTGCCTTTTTACTTGTCAACCTTGGGACTTCTCAGCCTCAGCAGCCAGCAACTGTCTGAGTAAATAAACGCCTCTAGCTCCAGTGGGCTGGGAGCAAGAGGCAGAGCTGGACCCCAAGGTTGAGGGGCTTTCACCCAGCCCCTAGAATTTGGCACTCTGAACTTGGACTTAAAGCCTCCAAATTTTAAGAATAAACTCCTCTTTATTAAGGCCATCCCATTTGCGGTATGTATTCTTGTCAGAGCAGCACTAGGTAACCAGAACAGTTATGCTGAGTGAAAGGAGTCAATCACAGAAGGACAAATACTAGTTCATTATTTTAAAGAGTCAAGGAAAGGTTTAGATATGGAAGGAAATTTTCTTTGTTGATTACCTGGGGTGAGAGGGGAGGGGAGGGAACACTGCAAAAAAAAAAAAAACACATTGACCCATGTCACTTTAGTTTTGTGTATTTCACTATACATCAATTATATTTCGATAAAATGCATTTTTAAAAAAATGAAATGGAATGCATAAAGATCAACATCTTAGGCATTAGTGAGCCAAAATGGAATGGTATTGACCATTCTGAATCAGGCAATCATATGGTCTACTATGCTAGGAATGATAAAATGAAGAGGACTGGTATCACATTCATCGTCAGAAAGAACGTTTCAAGATCTATCCTAAAGTACAATACTGTCAGTGACAGGCTAATATCCATACAACTATAAGGAAGACACATTAGGCTTCTGAAAGGGCTCACTACACTTTTTCTGAGTCTCTCATTCCAAGGCTTCGACCCGTAATTTTTCCTGTTCCGGTTAGTGTTCCAGATGACCCAAATTTTTAACATTCAGGTCTGTTCTGGTTTTGCTTTGTCAGCCATGGTTGAACTGGTTCAAACTAGTTCAAAGCCCAGCAGAATATATAAAGAACTCTACATTATCAGTAAGCAAAACATAACTCAATAGAAAAAAAACACAAGAAATTTGAACAGATAGTCCATGAAAGAGGATATCCAAATGACCTATATAAAAAGATGTTCAAACTCATTAATTATCAAGGATATGTATATTAAAACCACAATAAAATTCTACTATGCACCTATCAAAATGATTAAAATTTAAAAATTTGACAGTATTGGTATAACCTGTAATATTGCTGAGAAATAGCTGAAGCATAAGGGCTTGTATGATTACTGAGCTTTTCCCATATTGTCACGTGGTCTCTTCTTCCTGCCATCATTGTGTTGGCATCTCGTAGCCCCTTCTGTGAACTGATTTTGTGGCAGCTATTCTGCTTTAAGGAGCTCAGGTGGCTCACTGGTTATAGCACTCAGCTGCTAAACGAAAGGTCAGCCCTTCCAATGACCAGTGGAGAAATATGTGGCACTCTGCTTCTGTAAAGATTTGTACCCACTGCCACTGAATCAATTGACTCAGAGCAACCCCCACTGGGTTCCCAAGGCATTAAATCCTTACCGAAATAGATTGCCCCATCTTCCTTCCATGGAGCACTTGGTGGGTTTAAACCACCAACCTTCTGGTTAGCAGTCAAATTCCTTAGCCACTGCACTACCAGCGCTCCTTGTAAAGATTTATAGCAGGTTCAAAGGGCAGCATTTGCACAGACAGAAAGGTAAGGAGGCAGGAATGCATAGACAGGAAGGACACAGGGAAAGGGTAACCACAGGGTGGAAGTGGGAGGTGAGAATTACAATCAAAAGTTAAAGGGAAAAAAAAAAGATTTACAGCCTTGGAAATGCTATGGGGGAGTTCTACTCTGTCCTACAGGGTCACTGAGAGTCATGACGACTCAACAGCAATGGTTTTTTGGGTACCCTGTTTAGGACCTCTTTTGATTATATTTCCTGACTCTTCGCTGTATTCTTTTTTTATTTTAGTTTGGGTGAAAGTTTACAGAGCAAATTAGTTTTCCATTCAACAATTCATACACATTTTGTTTTGTGACACTGATTGCAATCCCCACAATGTAACAACACTCTTTCCACTTTCACCCAGTGTTTACCATTTGCTTTTGTCCCTTTTTCCTATCCCTTCCTGCCTTCTGAGCTTTATCCCTGGGCATATGCTGCTCTTTGGATCTTGTATGGTTGATTGTTCAGTGAGTGCTGTTCCTCACTGGTGTTGCTGATCGCATTATAGGCCTATCTTTGGCAGAAATTTGAGCCACAGGGATGAGTTCAGTTACAGGCTTGAAGGGTGTCTAAGGGCCACAGTCTCGGGGGTTCTAGCGGTCTCTATCAGACCTGTAAACCTGATCTTTTTTTATTATTTTCAGTTTTGTTCCACCCTTGGTTGTATCTTGATATTTAGAAAACAGTTATTGGTGAATCTTGATAAGACATTATGCTGAATTAATAAGAAATGATAATAAGAATTATTTGTTTATATGTTTGGATTATCTTCTTCACTCAGTGATTCAGAATGATAGAAGAGTAGGTTCACTATATTATCTTTACCACACCTATACCACAACTCCTTAAAGAAAAAGCTATCAGAAAAATTTACCAAAGCAGGAGACTCTTCTAAGCTGCTATCAAGTAGGCTCTGACTCACGGTGCGTGTGCGTAGGAGAATGGCCTGCACCACTTCCACGATCATCGGTGTTTGAGCCCATTGTTGTGACTGCTGTGTTGATCCAACTCACTAAGGGGCTTCCCGTGTTTCCGTTGGCCTTCCTTCCCAAACATGAGGTCGTTTTCCAGTGACATCTTATAGTTTGTTTTCTCGGTTTATCCTGAGAAAAGCAGCTGCTTTTCCTTCTCTGAAATCTACTTGCAAGCAGGTCAAGAATAAGCTAATTTTTCTTTTCCTTTTTAATCTTATTCTCTATTTGACCATCCAAGTCCTCTAGCTGGAAAGGCAGAAAAAATATATATATTTTATTTTTGCTTTTTAACTTACCCACTCACAGTCAATTCCAAGCACTGGAAAATCTTCTAACTCACTCCTAAGGAAGGGCTCAATTTGATCCCACTCCTCCTCCTGAGACACAGTCACCACCTTTGCTTTGAGGATCCTCTCTTCCCATGAAGCTCTGGGGGCAGTAGAGTGCAGGCGAACCTCTTCTGAAGGTGACAGCTCTCTATCGTCTGGTCCTTTCTGCTGTTGCTGGGCCACACAGCTCGCCTTACTCCTCCGGCGTTGAATGCCTTTCCACAAGACAAACCCCCCCACAGCCACGCCCAGAAGGGTGGTCACTGTCAAAGCCACTGAATGCTGTCTAGACATTTTTGACTTTCTGCTGCTCAGGAAAGCATATCACTAATCCCACAATCTGCAAAACAAATGGCAAAAATATATTTATGTACATAATATAAATCTATACGTAAACAAGTTTTCCCCTAAAAAGTGATCCACTTATAACCCATGCACTCAGAAACTAAAAAAAGTAAGACAGTACATTTGTATTCTTCCCCTTTTGTACTCTATGTACTCCAGCTCTATCTCCACACTCACCCAAGTAAACTCTCCTGTCCTTTGCCAGTTGCCCCAGGCTCTTACTCATATAAAATTACATTAATCAAAACAGAATGAGCTAAATTTGCACCTAAAGCACAATTAAAAAATAAATAAATAAAATAAAATAGCAAGAATGAGCTAAAATCTCACTTCCACTTGCTGATTTATTGTTGTTGTTGTTGTTGTTTGCCGTTGAGTCAGGGGTCATCTTCATGGTGTTTGCATTTTAAACCTTCAATCTCTAACTGCTGAATGGAAGCTTTTGTTTCTCAATATAAAAAAAAATTCTTAGGGAGATTTTTTTAACTTTTCTGGAAGGTGTGACCAGTAGGGATGGAAGAAACAGGTTTTCCTGTTGCTCCAGAAGTCTTAGTAGTTCTCCACAGAAACAGATTCAGTCATTTTAAGGCAAGCCAGGGCAGTACAAAAGGAGCTCTGGTGGTGTAGTGGTTACGGCAGTGGGTTGCTCACCAAAAGTTTGGTGCCTGGGACCCACTGGCTGCTCCGTGGAAGAAAGATGAGGCAGGCTACTTCCACAAAGATTTACAGCCTTGGAAACCCAATGGGGGTCACTATGAGTCAGAACAGACTCAGTGGCAGTGAATTTGGGTTTTTTTCAGAGGGCAGTGCAAAAGGGAAGAAGGCATCAGAAAAGAAAGAGAGGGCGGCCCGGCAAATGGCAAATTGAAGCATCTGCCGGGTTGGGCAGGTTAACATAAATAAGTGAAGTAAGTCAATTGTAAGGAAACTGACAGAGACACATCCTATTCACTATATAGGAAGAATCTTCATTTCCTCCACAAAATAGCACCGAATCCAACTCATAGCAAGCTCCACTGGCTTTTGAGCCTGTAAGTCTTTTCAGAAGATGTTCACCCCATATTCCTTATGTGGAGCAGCTTGCGAATTTAAACCACTGACCTTCTTGTTAGCAGCCAAATGTCTTATCTACTGGACCACTGGAGCTCCTTTGAGAACAGGGTAAACCGTACTATTCCTTTACTATTTGAAAAAAAAAAAAAAAGCAATAGTAAAAGTGTGACAATAAATGGCAAATGACCATTGGGCTGAGTGTCAGAGAAGAAATATGGGACAGCAATCATTTCAGCACCAGCTGACTGGTCCTATCCAGGAAAAAGGCCCAGTGTAGTCAGACATTTTAATGATTCTGAGAAGCCAAATAATTGAATTTTATATGAAATAGTATTATTTTAAAATGTTAGCACAAATTAACAGATTTTAAAAACTTGGGACAGCCAGACAGAAAACAATTCTGGGCTTCTGGGTTATTCATCTGTGGATTCTAGCTTAAAATCTACACTGTCTCCAGAAAGAGCGATCTGCTGGGCCCGCCTACATTTCTCCATGGCTGAAAGCTTCCCATGAATATATTGTACTGTTTTTGTCACAAAAATCACACTAATTTTAAAAATAATTTAGTTATTTTTAAACCTGGGTCCTAATCATGCTTTTAGGGAGATACGGAAACTTGAGAAGAAAAAATGGTATCATGATAATGATTATTTAATAAAAATAATAATGAAAACCAAAACCAAGTCAGTTGCCTTCAAGTTGCTCCCACTCATGGTGACCCCATGTTACAGAGTGAAAATGGTCCACACGCCTTTCAAGGGATGACTTTTTGGAAGCAGATTTCCAGGCCTTTCTTCCAAGGTGCCACTGGGTGAACTTGAATCACCAACCTTTCAGTCAAGTGCTTAATTGTTTGTACCACGCAGGCACTCCCATAATAACAAAAATGATAATGTATTAGCTATGCTGCTTTTACTTTCTTCCAGAAATTCTAAGCACTTCCATGTACTTTCTCTAATATTTTTATTAAAGAGGAAATTGAGCCCTGATGAAATGAAATAACTGGCCTAGAGAAATTCCTGGCTAAACTAATCTGAGAAAATACTAAAACCTTTCCTGTTCCCACTCTAGACAATGTAAATGCTGGAGAAAACACTGACAAGATAAAATTTAATACACAGTTAAGCCCCAAAAGAAAAAAGGAAAACCATCAGGTGCCAGGAATGGAAGAGGGAACCCAAAATGGGTGGGAGATGAGGCTGGGCAGAGACCAGAACTCATGCCAGCCCCAGCACTGAGTATACCACCAATCCAGGGACAGAAGTAAAGGCCACAGGCCCCGGGCACAACTGGGACCCAGGAGAATGCTGCCATGTCCGTGGACAGAGACCCGAAAGTGTCCACACATTGTGGCCTGGGCTCATGGCAATCAGTAAGCCAACTGTCTGGGGCTGAGGCAGGAACAGAGTAATTCCTGAAAGTGCAGAGCTCAAGCCTGATCTCTGGGCAAGTACAAGGCCCAAATTCGTATTATCCTCATGAGAGGAACTTAAAATGAAAACTTCTTTGAAATTGTGAGCTCTGTCGGACCCAGGCAGAGTCAGTCACAAGAGTGTGACTGTAGAACATATGCAGGAGTAGAAGATTATTCCTTAACAGAGGGCTCAAAATCAAACAAAACCTTAACATTGTCAAAGATGGTTCACAGAGCCATCAAACAAAAATTATCACACCCGAGGAACCAGATCATAGAGGGACCTGAGAGGGACTTTAAAGTAAGAATGTTCAAGCAGATCAAGGGAAATACTACATAAATAATGAATAGAAACCAAAAACTAAAAAGAAAATCTAGATATGAAAAATATTTATTATATATTTTTAAAATTTTAATACTTGAAAGACAGGTTAAAAAGTAGGTTAGACATAAAGAGAGTTAATAAACTGAACATAAATCCGAGGAAGTCACCCAGAATGTAGTAAAATAAAGAGGTGAAAACCAATAGAGCAGAGACATGGAGAAAGTACTGAGAAACTCCAAAGCACACATGAGAAAGATTAAGAAGGTATGTTCGGGGTCTGATTTGATACTGAATCTTGGGAGCTCTGGTAGCATGGTGCCTAAGGCACTTGACTGCTAACCAGAAGGATTGGCGGTTCAAACCCACCAGCCACTCCTCAGAAGGAAGATGGGGCGATCTACTTCCGTAGTGATACTGCCTCGGAAACCCAAGGAGGAGTCGCTATGAGTCGGGTCCAACTCGACGGCACATAACAACAACAACACCGAATCTCAACTGGATAATCTAAAAATAAATCTACCCCACAAAAAGACTTATCCAAGAATGTTCATAGCAGCTTTATTTATAATAGCCAAAAACCAAAAATAGCCCAAGTAGTACACTCATATGATGGAATATTACTCAACAATAAAAATCAATAGCTTTCTTAAAACAAAAAGCCGCTCTGACTCACAGGGTCTCAATGGTGGTGATCTTCAGAGCAGGTCATCATCAGGCCTCTCTCCTCAGGCACCTCTGAGTGTATTCAAACCACCAACTTTTTGATTAATAGCCAAGCACCTAACTGTCTGTGCCAGCCAGGGACTCCATACAAGAGAATACTACTCAGTGAAATGAACATCAATAGCTTTCTATTAACCCATTATTAAAAAAAAGTGAAGAAAAAAATCCCATTCCCCCCAAAACAATTTCAACCATAACAGCAAACACACACACATGGAATAATCCTCAATAAGAAATGCACAAGATCAATATGAAGAAAAATAGAAAACTTGACTGAAGACAGAGCAGACCTGACAAGTAGAGATAGACTTTAGCAGCTCTCACTTCCAGTGCACTTATCAGAACACTTACCATCAGGCACTTTACACATTTACTCATGTACAAATTACTCATTCAATCCTTACAGTGACTTTCTGAAGTAAGTACAACAATTATCCCATTTGTTTACGAGGAAGGGAAGAGTCATTCTTTTACAGAAATACTCAAAATAAAATATAAATTTGAGGCAAACTCTTACTTAAGAACAATTTTGACCACCAAGAAAGTGAAAAGACAGCCCAAAGAATGGGAGAGAATATTTGCAAATCATGTATCTGATAAGGGCACTATCTACAATATATACAACTCAAAACAATAACTAAGTCAATTTAAAAATGAGCAAATACACAACTTAAAGAATATAATCAGTATCACTAAATTGTACATGCAGAAATTGTTAAAATGGTATATATATTATCCTCAAACCTATCATCCTGGGATATATTCTTTAAACTGGGGACTCAAACCACTCCTGGTGGTCCCCCAGCAGTCAAAAGGCAGAGTGGCTCATAAACTAAGTGTCACCAATGAGTACTGTGCTTCTTTACACAACCATCCAAATGAGACCTAATGGTCAACATTTACCCAAGACCAAAGATAAGAGGGTAAGGGGCACAAGAAGCTAGACGGATGGACAGGAACAACCAGCATGGAAACCATGAGAATGATGACAGATTGTCAAAACTATAACGCATGTCGCTCAACAACATGCACAGAAATTGTTCAGTGAGAACCTAATTTGCTATGTAAATTTTCTCCAGAATCACAAATATCTTTTAAAATGGTCAACTTTTGCTGTATATATTTTTTACCAAAAATAAAAATGTTTTAAATTAGTAAAGGATTTGGATAGATATTTCTCCACAGATATACAAATGCACAATAAGCACATGTTAAGACGTCCAACACCATAAGCCATTAGGGAAACTCAAATCAAAACCACAATGAAATAGCACTTCACCCCCACTAGAATGGATATTATCAAAAAATGAGGAAAATAACCCTAGTGCATTGCTGGTGGAAATGTAAAATGATACAGCCATGCTGGAAAACAGTCTGGCAGTTACTTAAACAATTAAACATAGAGTTACTATTAAAAAAAAAAAAAAAAATTGCTGTCAAGTTGAGTCTGAATCACGTTGGTTCCATGCGTCTTAGAGTA